AATATATATAAATAAAAAAACTAGTTTCGTTTATTCTACTTGGTTTTGGGTGTTTATAAAGTTAATTATTCCATTATTAAATTTATTTTTATGTAGTTATTAGGTGTGTGGTATAGCCTATAATATAGCTCTGTTATAGTTTTAAATCTAAAAATCTGTTCTAAACATTAAAAATTTATAATAAAATTTTTATAATTATTACCCAAGAGTTAATTTATAAAAAAAAAATAAGTTAATTATTATAGTTTTTTTTATATTAATCTCTTATTTTTCTGGTTATTTTAAGCTTTATTTAGATTTAATCCGTTTATAATAAAGAGGATTAACTTTATAAGAGGCTAAAAATAAAAATAAATTATTTATAATTATAATTTATAAAAAATAAAATAAAAATATTAAATTTAAATCGGGGTATTTTTCATTATAATCCTCTTTTTTTTCGACTTATAAAACAGTACTATTTATAGATTTAAACTAAATTTTTAAATATTAATTGATATAAGTTTAATTAATTTATAATATTAGAATTTATAAGCGTGTTATTTTACTAAATTTAAAAAAAAAACAAGGTTTTAACAATATAAATAAAGCAAAATATTGTATTTTTTTAAACGATAATCACACTTAGAAAACCAATTTTTAAAGCTAAATTTTAACTTATTTAAGCTTAATTTTTAAGCTTATTAATTGATATAAGTTTAATTCATTCGTAATAAGAAGAGATTAGCTTTATAAGTGTATTATTTTACTAAATTAAAAGAAAAAAGAAAATAAAAGTGGGTTGTAACAGTTGATCAACGCACCTTATCTGTTAATCAGCTCTTAAGCTGATTAGCTGTCGAATGTTTTAGCTTATAATTCATGAATTATTCTAATTGATTTAAACGTCTGACATCTTTTTAATATCAGAAATAGGCATTTCCAGTTAATTTACTTCCTTGTATCGCAAGCTCTCTTTTCAGAATTTTAATAAATCTTCTCCTTTATATTATATTAATTCCTAAAATAATAATTTTCCTATTACATATAAAATATATATAATATAATATTAGTTTTTAAAATAAATTTTACTTATATTTAAGATCGAAGGATTAATAATATTTGATAGATGATCCTTAATTAGTTTCGTGTTTAATCTTATGATTTATTGACGTTATCTGATGATTTAGATGAAAAATTATAATTATTAATATTTAATTCAATTTTGTAAGTAAATTTTTACATATTTTTCTAACTTATTAAGTCTTTCTTTCAATATAATTAAGAAATTTAAACATTTACAGTAAATAATAAAAGTGTTATATCGTAGAGCCTCACATTAGGGCCTATATGAATATAATTTAAGGCTCTATTTGTTTAAATGGAGAAAAGAGGTTTCTTTTATATTATAAATTATGATCACAATAAGTCCTAATATAAACGAAGGCTTAAATTAAGGCAAATGCATTAAAAAAAAGGAATTATTACATTTTAAATGCTTAAAAATAAAGATAATTATCTTAAAAATTGGAAAAATAATTAATTTTTAACATTTAAATGTTTTATTTATCAAATTTTTAAGAAATTTTTCATCAAAATGAGTAACTTAATCGTTTATAAATCAAGTTTAAAGTAGTTTTTAAACTGAAAATTAACATTATAAACTTATTATTTATAACATGTCGACTTACACAATCGTCATCTTATAAATTAAAATTGATAAATAGGTTAAGTTTTTTTTATGATTAATATTATAATAACCTATTTATTTTATAGCATTCATTACATAATAACAGGAAATATTTAATCATTAGTTTAGTAATTAATTTATGTTCTATATTCGCTCTTAAATTACATTTAAAATAAATGATTTTAATTCTATAAATTTGCATCGATTATAACAAAACACTACGAGGAATTAATGTGTACATGTACAGTACTGTACATACTTCTTAGCATTATAATTTTATATAGGCTACTTGACGTTAAAAGAATATACTCTGCTTTTACAGGTGCTTCATGACGTTACAAGAATGCTTCTGTATACATACGTCTTGGCATTATAAGAGTATATATTCTTGTATGTACGTATATTTATCGTGAAGATGTGCTTGTATTGTTATGCTTCTGACAAGAAACAACAATAAACACCTAAGAAGTATCTGTAATGGGAATGTATTCTGCTTGTTGTAATGTATACATTTATATTGCTTATCTATATGCTTTTAGGCATTACAACAATGCATAATGCTTTTAAAATAATGTATATTATATGTATAGGCACTTTTTGATGTTATAAGAATAAATAGAAGCAGTTTGCTTGTATATAATTGTTTTACTGTTTCTAGGCGTTACAATTACTATACTTCTCGTTAAAAAGCGAACTAATTGCAACACAAAACTGCATACAGTTCCCTTGTAACATTAACTTTCTAAACATTACAAAAACTCATAAAAAATCTAATAAAACTGATTAATATATATTATTAGAGTGAAATTATAATAAATATTCATTTATTTGCACAAATCCGCTTGGTCACGGTTTATTTAAAGTCACATTTTGTCATTTAACTGATTAAAATCAACGACGTAACGCATAGAATACGTTTATATCGATCGTGTTAAAACGTAACATCTTCACACAAATGCGTTTAATCTCCACTAAAATTACATTAAAATACCTTACAAGTATCCGTAGTAAATTATACGACCGAACTAAATAAAATACCCATAGAAAATATTTATTTTATTATATGTAACGTAACTGACGTTACAAAATAATAATAAAAAAAAAAAATCCGGATCCTTACGAAAGAATGTCACGTGTGGTGAGTGAACATACCATTTTCTGAGCACACACTGCTAATCAACGGCCTTACAATCAGTTTAATGGCAGTTCATCAGATGAGACCATGAATATAAAACAGAGCCCTTGGCAATATTTTCTTTACTAAAAACAGGGTCAAAAAATATGAAGAGGTACAACTCTTCAAGTGTATATACACATAAGATATAGGCTAAAGCCAGATTTTATTAAGTCATAGTGTTTTATGTAAATAAACTGTTAAGATTTTTATATACATGAATATATAATCTCTATATTTATATATAAAGTAGCTTTAGTGATACAATTGATCAAAATATAGCTAAAGCTGTCAACATGTGATGTGCGTGGTTCTTGTACTGATGAGAGGCGTTGGCAATAATTCCAAAATATGTATTGTCCTTTAAGAAAATTATTATATAAAGTATATTAAGAATGGTAAGACTATGTAATTTAAAATTTGACGTTTCCATATATTACACTATCTTGTTTGATGATGCTTAAAAATGATGAGTTTTTGCGAGTGAAAGATGATTTAGCCCATATAACTAGAGTTAACTTATTTAATAACATGACTAAAGGGCAATATGGTATACTATTGTTAAAACACAACCAATTTTTAGAAGATAAGATACTTTTCTTGTATCTGAAAACATCATTTTTGGCAATTTTAGGCTGTTTTACTTTAAAAAAAATCGTTTCTTATGGTGTTATTTTTGTATAGATGCAGCAAATATTTGTAGGTCTTTTCTGGTTAAGTATTAATGGAAAACATTATTTTTTTTAGATAGAACGGAAGTGTATTTAATTTTTTATAAAATCTAATTAATTTTTTAGAAATTTTAACGAAATATACGCTTTAATTAATAAAAATTCGACTGAAAAACTAATAAATTTCTTTATTAATTTCAAACGAGTTTTTACTTCTATTAAAAAAAAAATTCTTTCTATTAACCCAGAAGATTTCTTAGATTTTTAACAGAATTTCTTTTAAAAATCTAAGAAATTTCTTTGTAACTTTTTTTTTGAATTTTTTAAAGAATTAAACAAGCTTTTCCTTCTATCTAAAAATAGCACTTCTATTGATACTAAACACAAAAAAAAGGGGCAGAAAAATTCGTAAATGTTTGTAAAGTCGCTACATAAGCTAAACATAAATGACTAAAGCACACAATAGCCATTTTGGAAATGCGTTTGTTGTATGTGTGTGAGTAAAAATACGTGAAGAAATCCGAGCACTTAGTGTTGTTATCTATTTTATCAAGTAAATTTTTCCTCCTATTGTTCTTTCGTTTATAGAACCAATGACGAGATGAACTTTAATTTAATGCCTGCACCAATTAAATTTACCGACTTTAAAAGTAAATTTTTCTCTCTTTTTTTTTTTTGGTGTTGTTTAGTTGATTTCTTTTATTTTTATAAAAGATAAATACACAGTAATGAAGAAGTTTTATTATTATTTAAAAAAAAAAAAATCTTTTGCGTTTTAAGTAAAATTTTGTCACGTTTTTATTTTATTTCTTTCTTTTGTGTGTTTAAATAAGAAAATTATGACTAGAATTTATATTATTTTATTTATTTATTTATCTCTACTATTGTACATTATGATTTTACACTTAAAATTCCCACGATTTTGTAAGAGGATAAAAAATTTTTAACATTGAAATTCTTTATTAAATACTTCAATTTTATTATTAGAAAATAATGAGAAATAAATGTAATTTTTCTTATAAATAAATTAATAAAAGACGACAATTTAAAATCCATTAGTTAATTTTAAAATATGTAAATATTTCTTAATTGATAAAGGAAATTATGATTTTGTCGAGGGATGATGAAGCCAAATTCAAATATAAACGGGATGACAAAACCAAAGTTTGGTTTACTCTTCAAAATGGATAACACAGTTTTGCTTTTATGTCACTTTGCTCTTTATTAATAAATGTCAGCAAAGGCTGTCAAATCAATGAAATATTTCCTTCGGGGTAACTCTCCCTTCAAGTGCTAAGAAAACACACAACACTTTCCGAGTATTCACCATTAAAAAATAATAATAATAATAATATTTTTATTAACTTTAACACGAGGAAAAAAAAACACCCCTTACACATATTCTCCTTCGCTTCTAACTAGTTATAAGGTTAATGTGTTGTTGTTGTTGTTGTTGTTGTTTTAAATTTAATTTTAATGTGTTTAGGTCCGGATGGATCGGGTTTTCTTCTACATCCGTTCAGAAAGCCAAAAAGGATCAGGACAGCATTTTCACCCTCTCAATTATTGAAATTAGAACATGCATTCGAGAAGAACCATTACGTGGTTGGAGCTGAAAGGAAACAATTGGCTCAAAGTCTAAGTTTAACCGAAACGCAAGTGAGTTGTTCACCTATTTTTTTTATTTCCTTAAATTTTCTTATAATTTCGAATATTTTCGCTATTATTTTATCATATTTTCTACTAGATTTAGAATTGCTGTGGCCATAACTGTAACATATTAGAGGTTCTTCCTCTTCAGTAAATAATGAAGAGTTTCATAAGCTAGTTTACGTATACAAATCAGTCTCTACGTAGGCCTTTGTAGTTTATGTAAAATTAAGCATAAATTATTAATTTTTATACATTTATAACCTTCATACGAGTTATTTTTAGTTTAAATTTTATATTTTAGATTAGAAATATTATATGTATAGGCACTTTTTGATGTTATAAGAATAAATAGAAGCAGTTTGCTTGTATATAATTGTTTTACTGTTTCTAGGCGTTACAATTACTATACTTCTCGTTAAAAAGCGAACTAATTGCAACACAAAACTGCATACAGTTCCCTTGTAACATTAACTTTCTAAACATTACAAAAACTCATAAAAAATCTAATAAAACTGATTAATATATATTATTAGAGTNTTAAAAAAAAAAAAATAATAATAATAATTTAAAAAAAAATGTTTTTTATAGTTTCTAGTAAAATTTTTTATAAAATAAAAGTGTGAAAAATTAATTATACTTATAAAAAATCACACGAAATTATAAAAGAACCGTAAAAAACAGAGAAGAAAGTAAACGAAACTTAAGCTTCGAATAGGGTTGTGAAATTCAATTTAATTATATATAGGATATATTTTTAAAGTTCTATACTTGTAGTTTATATACAATTTATATATATATAAAAAAAGGCACTAATCCGGGATCAAAGTTCGTTTTTTTCAAGACAGCTACCCAGAAAAAAAACAGCTTAAATCTATGATCAAAAGATAACAAAAAATTTAGAGGTGTTACTTCTTTAACCACAACGTGTCGCTTCTAACACCCAAAATTTCACGCATGTCAATAGTCTATGGTGGTCCCAGATTTCTTATCTTATCCCTGTCAATCTTTCTTTCATCTAGGTCTTATATGCTGTAATTAACTAACGAAATATTTGGAGTTTGGAATGTTTTGTTTGTATCCATCTTCTATACTTGATATACGATAAATAACTTTAAATTCCTTTAAAAAAACTTTATAAAAATATATAAAAATTTTATATTTATAAATTAAAACATTTTAAAAATTATTATTTTATATATTTTTGCATAATATAAGGCAATAAATTTACACAATCCGGTAGTAAAATTTCGAAAATTTTGATGATTCATTTGATTTTTCTCAATAATCTCTTTTAAAATATAAATTATATGTATATATGTGTATTAAATCAATATTAAACACTATCATTTATTATTAATAACGTATCACTATAAAGTAATTCATTGTCTATACTTTGCATATTTAGATATATTACACAATAGAATTATATATAATGAAATATCAATTTTATTAAAATATAAGCTGTAAATTTTATTATTTTTCATATAATTTTTCTTTAAATATTAAAATTTAATAAATTTATTTTTAAAACAAAATAAAACGTAAATGCAAAATTCGATTTGTAAATCGTGCTTCAAAATGTTCAATTTTTTAAATGTTTTTATTAATAAAATAATATTTTAATGGTTTATATTTTAATAAAATTTCATAATCTAAAGATTAAAATAAACAAATTTATTATGATTATTATTATTCATTTAAATTTTATATATTAAGTTTGAACCATTCTATGATATAAATTTGAACGTGAGGAGCTTCTGTGAATGATTAAATTAAATATTTAATTGATATTTAAGTATTTAATTTAAAAAATATATATATAAATAAACAATTAAGGAACAGGTGAAAGAATGCAGGTGTAACACTAATTTTTCTATATAAATTTGCACCTGTATCATTATACAACTAGCTTAAACTCTTTTAATATCATTTCTAAGAGATCAAGGAGTTTAATTATAGACACATTTCCAACATCTGCTCATTAAAAAATTCAATTTTTATCCAAAAAATTGTCCCATTTTCTTCCAACTCATTCAACTTTATCAACCCAAAAACTACTTTAAAAAATCAATAATTTGATTATGCATGCCTTTATATAGAAACTAATTATGTTCTATAACTACATTAACAGATACAGAATTAATTTATGAGAATATAAATCCTTGATTCATATCATAAAAGTGATGGAATGTCAATTATTCCACTCGACGTAACAAGAATGTGAACTAATCCTCCTATAAAAATGAACTAAGTTAACTAAGCATTTAAAAAATATATATATAAAAATATTATAGATTTATTTATTTTTTTTAATTCCCTAAATTAATTACTTAAACAAACTGAGGTTAGTACGCGATATGAATCAATAATATCTTGTTAATCTAAACGTTAATTAATAGTTACATTGAAGGAAGTAGCTTTACCTTATACACTTCCTTACCTTAGGCCCTTTTTTTCGTGTTGTTTAATTGTAACCTCAAATTGGCGATAATTTAAATCTTGTCTTCACCTGTCGGTAAATTTACCGAAAACATCGATTTTTTTTTAATCTACTTGATCTAAGAGATTATATTGATAATGATCTAAGCTATCTTTTGTCATTTTAATTATCTTTATATCAAATTTTCTCCAGATCACGTCGATAGTTATTGATTTTCTCACGTTTCTTGTATTTTTACATGTTTTTATATCTTAATAATTCAATTTTTTTTTAGAATTTTCCATCCTATTCCTCGTTTATTATTACTTGTTTTAGTATGGTTGTACTCTTGTGTTGTACTCTATTATTTGTTTAAGGATTCTTACACTCCTGTATGATTTTCTCTTCCTTATTTTAGAAATTTTGGATCCTTTTAGGTTTTCTATTCTTTATTTTAGTTCTTGTACTGTACCCAAGTCCTTATTTTAGTATTTTTACACTCCTGTATGATTTTCTCTTCCTTATTTTAGAATTTAGCAGCTTATATAATTTAAACACCCTTCTTTCTTCTCCTTATTATATAGAATTAATGAATATTCTCGAGTACTTTCTACATCTTTTATATTATAATTTCTCCATTCACATTTTGTATAGTTCTTATCTTATAATTTTTAATTTTTTTCTCCCTCCATTTTCTCTTCTTTATTATACAATTTACATTAACTACTCCACATTTCACAATTATTATGTTAATAAAGCAATCAAATTTATTTAAATTACGTAAATTTAAACTAGAATTAATGATAATTAACTTGAATAAAGATTAAAAAATTGAAGAAAATTAAATTTTCAATATATTTATTTTAATTTCTAATAAATAAATTAATAT